CCCCCCCCCCGCCCCCCGAAAATGGAGCATTTTGTCGATGGGGGGGGGCGCCCTGATGGCACCGATACACCGCAACCACACCAACGCTCGGCACACTGCACACAGCAGCGATACATAGCTGTCTGTAGCGGCGACGAGGTCCAGCGTCTAGCACAGTGGATCACGTCGTATGGTGCGCTCATTCAGAAGGCAGTGATAGTTCTGACTGTATTTCTTATTTCTTCCTGACGTTCTTTCCAATCCCCTTCAGGGAGGAGGAAAATCCGTTGGATGTCTGAAAACGGCTTTCCGTATGGGTCCATGACCCACCCAGATGGGCAGCAACATCCTCCTCCGCAGCGGGCTCCGCCTGGCGATGGCGCCAGCGGCGGGGGCGGGAGTGGCAGTGGGAACGTTCAGCCGATGAGCTTCCAGGAGGTGGCTGGTTGTGGAGCTGCCTTCACAAGCAGTAGCGATCCGGCTGGCGTGATGCTGCAGCAGCATCAGATCCAACTTGCACCGGCGACGACCCCAGCAGCCTCTGCCGCTGCCGCGGCGGCAGCGCCAGCAGTCGGCGCGCCCACTGCTTTCCTCCATGGCGGTGTCCACATCCCTCCGCTCCCCAACACACTGCTGAGCGGAAACGGCGGCAGCAACGGCATCGGCGGCATGAATCCCGACCTCGGCGAGCACGTCTTCCCTGCTCATCAGCTCTTTCACGCCGCTGCCGCTGCCGCCGCCGCTGCCCCTGGTGACGGCGGAGGCGGCGGCGGCCCGGGAGGTATGCCCGCCCCGGGAAAATCAGCAGCATCGACGATATCGGAAGGGGTGGCGTCGGCGGTGACGGGCGGGTGGTTCATCAGCGAGCCGGGAGCGGGAGGAGAGCCAGGAGCAGCGGGGGCCGGAGACCCCGTGGCGATACCGGTGTCGCTCACCCCGCAGGAGCTCGCCGCTCGGAAGGAAATGATCAGCGCGGAGACGCGGAAGCAGCTCGGGGTGCTCCAGGACCTGAGGGCGAAGCACGCCGGCAAGAGGGGCCGATACAAGTGGGTGGTGTTGCGATGATGATGAGCACGCCGTAGCAGGAGGAGGAGGAGCGTTTCCTGTTGTGGACATCGCTGTGTTGTAGGTTCACGTGTCGGATCGCTCCAAGCTTTGACCCGACGGTGCAACCACCGTTGGTGCGGAAATCAGAGAGGTACAATAGCAACATGCCAAAGGGGAGAAGAGAGTTGTTTGGTGCACACGGCGTTTTTTCCCCCAGGTTTTGTGGGGACGAGAGGGCAACGGTGGCGTAGGCGGAGATTGGGGGGCTGGGGTTGCGATAACGTCGTTGATAAGCCAAACGCAGCGCCCTAGCGACAGTCCCTTTTGCGCTGTTTAAACCTTCCATGCTATCTCGTCGCTGCTGTTTCCCCGCTGTCGTAATTTGCTGTTTCCGCGACGTTCCGATGGCTGTGACGTTGGGGTCGTCAACACCACCGCCATCATCACCACAACTGCCCGCTCTATCCACCAACAACACACTTGGTGTGTTCGTTGTAGCTCGGCCGACCAAAGAGTGAAGGACGACGCGGAGAGGGCTATGGCCGACCTCCGGGTCAACATCATGCCGCACGAACGCCAGGCCATGTCGAAACCCGTCGCCGACGGCGGCGCCAAGAGCGGCAAGAAGAGGAAGAAGTCCTCCAACGGAAAGGCGTCGAGGGCGGGGGAGGCTGCCTGCGGAGATCCGTATCTGGTGCGCGATATTTTGTGTTGTGTCGTTCGTTGTTGCGGAGTGATTTTTTGCCGCCTCTTTATCTACTGCTGGTCTCTCTCTTCTTTTTGTTGTCGTTTCGTGGTTTCGTGTTGTGCTAACGTCCGTTGAACGGGCGCGACCTAAGGTGGAGGCGGGAGTGCCCCAAGGCCCGTGCGTATGTTTGAGCGACGCTAAACGCCCGTCTCTTATTGCATACGGCGGTTGACACCCGTGTCACATCTCTCTGCCCTGGCCGCACTTGTTGAGGTGGCGCACGTGCTCACATGATCCTGGTGTGTCGCATCAATAGCAGTGTGCCGTTCTGTTTCTCTTGCGTTGTGTCCCTACACAAGCGCCCCAACTCTGCGCACGTACTCCTCCGGGTTTGATATCAGTCGGCGCCCCAGGTGGCGGTCTGCGGCGCTGTCGTCATGTATTGCGCTTGGAGTTTGGGTTGTTCACCTTGTCGAGCCGGACGGACCGACAGCGCGGGCAACCGTCGCTGCTACTAGAAGCAGCGTGTGTCATTTCCAGTTTTTGGCTTAATGTGATTTGACTAGCCGCATTTTATTGACGCGTTCCCCATGGTGAAGGGGGCCGCCCACCCGCAGCTGCAAAGGAGTACCCGAAGTGTTAGGGAGTGTGGCTGTTGGCATGAATATAGTACATCAACATCAACAACAACAACAATTGTGGATAGGATGTGGGATGGTCAGGAGGTATACCTCCATGGTATACCCATACCAACCTCATATTTTCTACTCTGCGTGCCCCCTGAGATGAAGTTGGATCCCTACTTCATCTCAGGCCTTGGCTGACCTAGTGTTGTGTCGGCTGTGTGCAACCTAAGCCTACCCAACGTCCAAACGTCGCCGACACGTGCGCCTTCTTGTTGCGAACAGGCCAACGGATCTGGCTCCGCCATGGGGGGCTGCTGGGAAGACGAGGAAGAGGACAAGGAAGACGACGACGACGACGACGACGACGATGGGGACGGGGAAGGGGAGGGGGAGGAGGGGGAAGACGAGGGGGGGACGGGCGACCGCTCGAGAGATTCGGCCACCATTCCTCCTCACGCAAAGAAACGCCTCCAGCAGGTATGTTGCATGTGCATATGAGGCTGGACGATAATGGACGACGTGTTCAGAGGAAACTTGTCTGGTGGGATGCTGGGGTTTCATGTGTCATCAGTCCTTTTTCCAACGTGTGGTCTCCCCCAAGTTTCAACCACTGTCGTAGTGATGCCAACTCGCGAAGCTCGGCTACCAAAACGCTCGTGTGCAGAAGTTTGAGATGAATGATGGGAAACGACATGCCAAACCTGACAGGGTGGAGGGATCAAGCACAACTTAGGTGGGAAATAACGGGATCGTCAAAAGAGCGCCCAAACGTTGGCGGCGTGGTCAGTAGGAGCATTATTTCTGTAGGACCGAGAGAGGGCTCCTTGCCAAGAGTGTACATACATTTGACGTTGATTTCCACGGACGCGCCCATAGTGCTGTCCCATATCCACATGAGTAGTGTCGAGACTACATGCGTGGTTCCGAGATATTTTTTTATCCAGGCAAGCAACGATTGTCTACCTTAGATAACACCCCCGTCCTCGCTGATTCTCCCCCCCGGTGTTGGCCATCGGGGTTGGGTTTTCGTCGCCTGGCAACGACGTTGTAAAACAAGCCAATTCACGTCGTGAACTCGGCAACCAGGTTACCGTTTATTTTTTTACCTCGTTTATTTTTTTGGCGGTAACCATGGTGGTAGTCGAGTAGATCATGTTGTGCGGGGTCGAGGACCCTCACTCCGCGCAAGGGGGATGATCGCACCACGTTGTGTTAAAATGGCCAAGCACCCTCGAGGCAGTTACACAGTACTTAGAACTGGCTATGGAAGTGAAAGCGCCAGAAAATAAATCAAGTCATACGCAGCTGTTATCCGTATGCAAGGAAGTAAGCACATGATGCCGCACATCCTTAGCAAGATGCAGCGCACCGTTCGTGCGACTCACCGAATATCTCACGGCGCTTCGCGCTTGGTGATGTGAGAGCNTTTTTACCTCGTTTATTTTTTTGGCGGTAACCATGGTGGTAGTCGAGTAGATCATGTTGTGCGGGGTCGAGGACCCTCACTCCGCGCAAGGGGGATGATCGCACCACGTTGTGTTGAAATGG